CGGTTGCTGCAGTCCTTGCTTCTAAAGATCAGTGCTGCCGGGATCATTTTCTCACCGATTCGGTTTGTTTGGACGGTGGGCACAGCCCCGTGTTCCGCGGGGTGGCATATTCGCCTAGTTCTCAGTAACTGGGCTTTAAGCCAACCGGGCTGTGGTGGTGCAGGTTTGAATTATCCATACCCCAGATGCCATCAAGATTTATATTCAATTTGCCTGTACAGTGAGATGTCGTTGGTGACGAGCATGACTTGATTATTTAAATAGCTTCTAACATACGGTCAAGGTCAAACTCCTGAGTTATTTTAAAGTTTATAGGGCACTCTTTTATCATATAAAAGTATAAGCCTATCCCTCTAGAAGATAAAGTTAATTGTATGTCTAAGCTCTTATCTTTATTACCAGCAGGTTCTTTTCCACGGGTAAGTGGGAAGAGGTGGGAGGGAGGGGCCACGGGATGCTTGGCCACACCTGGGGGGTGGCGTGAATTGAAAAAGCTTGAGAGCCAATCGTTCGGAAAAGATGGGCTGGAGGCGGAATGTTTGTGAGCCCCGTTTTGTAAAAATGCAGTTTTGGGGCCAGGGCCCATAGGTATTTTTACACTTATATTGTCCAAGGGCAGACGACCCCAGCCGGGCCACACCTGCGTTCCAGAGCCAGGTGAATGACGCACAGAGCAGCCACTCAACACAGCTGGGCCCTGCTGTGGGGCTGCTCCTGGGCCTGGGCTCAGCCTGTGCCAGGAGGGGAGCTGACACCTGTGTTGTGGGCAGAGCTAACCCTCAGGAAGGGGCGGCTGTGGTTCAGCAAGAGAGGTTCCATGGCAGAGCAAATGAAGAACTTGCCCTCCCCGCCAGCTCCCGGGGCGAGGGGGTCTGGGCCTGGGGGGGGGAGGGATGGCGATGGGCGAGGCTGTGCGGGAGACGACTGTTGGGTGACAGTGGGGGTGAGGTGAGTTCCAAACCAGGCCTGGCTGAAGCACATACAATGTCCACCTGCTCGGTGCCAGTCCCTCCCTGCCCAGATGGTGCCATGCTTTGGGCACCCCAGAATCTCTAGCTTTGAAGCCCAACTCTATTGTTTACGGGGCTCCCAGACCCTGGACGATTGAGCCTCAGTATCCTCAATAAAGCCTGTTGGAGGGTTAACGGGGTTAATACCTGTCACGTGCGCAGCATGGAGCCTGGCCCACGGTAAGTGCTTAATACGTGTTAGATAGGAGCATTATTACGGCTGTTAGGTTACACCTGTGGGGGCGCAGGTGGGCGAGCTGGCAGGACCCTGCAGGTGCCCGCACAGCAGGGTCCTGTGGAGCAGTCTGTGTCCAGCTGTGCAGCCGCTGCTGGCCCTGGTGCCCTGGGCAGCCTACTTCAATTTCTGACTGGTAGGTGCCACTTGAAGTTGGACCGCTGGGGACAAGGTCTCAGAGAAGATGAACGAGGAGGTAGTGTGGATTGGAGTAGAGCCACGAAGATCTGAGGAAGGTGTGGCCCAGCCCTTGGGAAGTCACATGGCTGTAGGAGTGACAGCGAGGATCTTGGCAAGTCACTCCTCTCTGGGTCAGAGTTTTCCCCACCTGCCCAGTGTGGGGGTTGGGCTAGTTTTGGGATGGCAAATAGGCTTTCTCCTTGTATGCCAACTCTGACTGGCAGTGCCCGTCTGAGGCTTTGTAAAGTCAAGAAATCAGAAGGCAGTTTGGGCAGGGCTGGGAGGGCTCTTTAATTGATTCATGATGTCTGCATGCGGCCAGGAGAGGGCAGCAGTGGCATCTTGGGGGGGGGGGGCACCCGCCCTCCTCAGATTAGCCCGGTGGCCCTCTAGCCTCCTCAGCCTCACCAGAGGTTTAACCCTCTGATTTAGGGGTATGGTCTGGCACTGGTCCTTTTTCGGAAAGGTCCGCCGGTGATTCTAAGGCGGGGCCAGGCGCCCCCAAGTTCCCCACATCCTGAGCTCTGTGACTTCTCGGTCTATACATTGTGGAGCTTTGAGCTTTCTTCCCGCAGAAATGGCAGGGAGTTAAAAGGCCGGTCTCCCCCAGTTTTATTGCTGGAGCGGAGACAGAGGTCAAGGGCACTGGCTGCGATCAGGGATTGAGGCGCCCGGTGGTCACTTCTCAGAACACACCATGGAGTCTCACCGGGGGAGGCCTGGGCTTTGCATCTGGGGGATGTCCTGGGGTTCAGAAAGGCCTGGCTTACTCAGGCTTCATCAGGGGAGCCCATGGCTGGCTCAGTTTCTCCCTTAGGCTCCTCGCAGTCCCCAGGGAGGGTGGGAAGTTGGGACGCTACAGAGGCCCACTGAGGTCTGCAGGAAGTAACAAGCCCCAAACTCACAGGCTCCACCTCTGGGCCTCTGGAAGGTGTGCAGGGGGGAGAAGGAAGCCGATGAAAGCTGACCGGGGCACTGAGCTAGAGAACGCAGGGCCGGGTGCCAGGCTCGGAGGTGCCGCATCAGGACCACGGGCAGCCCTGGAGGCCTATAGTAAAGCTTCTGGGAGACCACCCCGGCCTCGGCCCTCCCATGGGCTCAGAATCCAGCCAGCTTTCCTCGGCCCTTCGTCACCCCCCTAGGACCCAGCCCTGGAATTCCAAGGAGCAGGTTATGGGGACTTTGCCTCCCACCCAGAGCAACATAGAAGCAATCAAATAACATAGAGTTCGACCATATTTTAAAATAAGCTTTATTTAGATTTTTTTTTTGTATTTTGTATTTGCATCCATGCCTTGGAGAAACCTTTCCCATGGGAAAGGTTACTTTCATCTAATGTTACCCATAACTCATTCGCTATTTGACGTAGTTCTCTTAAATAAATCATCCTTAGTAACTCTTAGAATTATCTCCTAATTTACAAAAACTGAAATGAAAAGGAGCTACTAAATCATTACCAGGAGTGGCTGCAATCTTATTTTCTCGTAAGGGAAAACAATAAAAATCAATCAAAAGAAGAAAAAAAATTCATGGGGGAGAAAGCGTTTTCTAAAATCTCTCTCTGCAGAGAAAGATGCCAGCTCCGGTCTGGTTAAACAGGTCAGCCAAAGGAGGCCAGAAAGAACCGTGTTAGGTGCTGGGTCTGCTCCTTCCCAGCCCCTCACCAGGTCGGAAGGATAGGGAGCTGCTGGCTGGGGCTTTTCTGTTGGTTCTAGAAACCTGGGACAAAATAGCCTATCTGTTCTGATAGACTCTCCAGCATTTTAACATGTTATTTCTTTGCAAGAGCTGAAACTGTTACTGTTAGCAGAAAGCGCAACTACTGTTGTTTAGAGGGTAGGTGAATGAGCTGTGTTAGTAGTTAAGGTGGAGCACTGGGGGCGGGGCGGGGCTTCACTGGCTCGAAGAAACCGGAAGCTAGTTTAAGGTCTCGGGAGGCCCAGGCTTCTAGCTCACGTGATCTTCATCAGCCCACGTTTAATGCACAGGTTCCTTGCTGGTGAAACCTCACTGGGGCCAATGCTGCTCCCCCAATACGCAGATGTTTCTGGGGTGAGTGGGTCAGGCTCCTGCCACAGTTGGAAGGCAGGGCCTAAGGGATCCCGAGAGATTCTGCTAAGTGTGGCTGGAAGAACCAACCAGAACCAAGAGGATAGAGGCTCTGGTGCTGGACACTTGTGTCCCCAACAGCCCTCCCCTTGAGAAGAGAGCCTCCCCTTGTGACACCTGCTTGGCCACTGTGCAGAATAAACAAAGGATGAGCCAGAGACAGCTGCAGGGAGGAACCGCTGGAGGACCCTGGGGAGCCGCTCCGCACAGGGTCCCTGTGGTCATCCCCCCTGGTCATGCCATGGCTGTCTCCCCCCGTGTTCAACCTCACTCCAAAGACAGACCCAAGAGAAAGTGACCATTCCAGTAGGCGCTCTGCTCACTGAGGTCAGTGTCCTGTACTTCAGATAAATAAATACACAGAGAAAGCCCTGGAGAGAGCTCGAGCCGGGAACGCAGCGGAGCGCGCTTCCATGCAGGGGCGGAAGAACGAGGAGGGAGAAGAAAGAACAGAAAAAAAGCAAGCTTTGAAAGCCCACGGTCCCTGGGTCCTGGCCACCCTAAACTCTACCTTGCGCGGTTTGGCAGCAGCATGTAAGAGAGAAGACAAGTCAACAGAAACCCCCGCCTCCCGCCCGCCCCGTGGAAAAATATACATTCCAATATTTATGTAATAATTTAGATAGAATAAGTCTTCTGCATTTGTGCAAATAAATTAAACGGAACAATTGTCTTTTTTTTTTTTTTTTTCCATAAAGAAAGAAACGGCAACGCAATTTAAAAACTGGCAGGCCGTTCAAAAGAGCCCGGGTGACCTCAGCAAACCCAGCCACGACCAGGCCCCTGGCCGGGCTTCGACTGCGCAGAGCGACCTTACCCTGACGACGGTGGCGTTTTGTGGTTAAAGTGACTTGAGCACTCCCCGAGAGCAGGGTCTGGTCCCACACGTTCACACCGGGGGGCGGGCGGGGGGACATCAAAAACAGACCACGTCCCCGGGGAGACGGGCTCCAGAAGTAGCAGTTCGGACGAGGGACATGTACAAGCACGGAGGGCACAATAGTTTTTGTTATTTACAAATACACAGCAGTCCTTCAAGTTTTCAAGTTTCATAAAAAGGAGGAGGGGAGGGGAAAGGGGGGGAAAACACAACCCAACGAACCAAACAAAAAGAAACATTGAAAAAACAGAAACCAAAAAAAAAAAAAAAAACATAAACAAAACAAACCCAGATTAACAACACAGCTGTATCGCGCCAGGGACGACAGAGAGTTGACATAGTCACACACGTTTGTAGTATGTACATCAATTACAGAGGTGGCGACGCAAGGGGAAGGGGTCACACGTGTTTGCACCCGGCCACGCCCGCCCCACGCCCCCGCGCCCCGCCACGCACGCGCGCGCGCCCCCGCGCCCCACACACGCACGCACGTCCACACGCACAGACACGCCCGCAGGGCCGCAGGCGAAGGGAGGCGGGTATCACCAGTCCGCGTCCTCCTCTATGTAATAATCAGGGGCGGTACCATCAAAGAGGCCGGGGTCGAGGGACTTCCGCTGCTTCCCTCTGGCGAAGACGCGGGAGATGGAGCCAAATCCCATCTTCTCTTTCTTCTTTTTCCGTTTTTGGTCTTCAAGATCCTCTAGTGACTGAGAAGTCGGGACCAGGTGGTGGAGATAACAGGGGAGAAGAACAAAGCCAACCTGAGCTGGGAGCAGAGCGCCGCGGAGGGGTGGGGATGGCCAGTGGGGAGGGGCGGGGGCCGCTGGGGGTCGGGAACCCAGGGTCTGCCCTGCAGTCCGTGAGGGAACCTGGGGGAACACCGTAGGACCCATCCAAGGCTGTCCTGAGGATGTCACTAAAGTGGATAAACCCGCTTGGAACAATGCCTGGTGTGTAACAGGCATTCCAGAATGGTGAGCTGCTGGTGATGTGTGTGCATCTCATCTGAACTGTTTGCCCCCAACCTTCTAGTGCCTCTTGAGGGCTCGCGGGAGTGCGTCCAGGCACAGCCATGGCCCCGCCACAGGTCCTGCCTGCAGGGACATTGAGCAAGGGCACAAGGCCCCATGGCAAAGGGGGCCTGGGGAGCCGGGACAGAGGAAACCGGAGCTTTGTGTCAGCCAAGAGCAAGGACCCTGCACCTGAAGGCCCTGGACAAGAAGCGGGACTGCCAAGGTCTAGTCCCGATTATGGGATAACTATGGGGGGTTGGGGGATGGTGTCTGCTAGAGAGCTTTGCAAACTGCCAAGTGCTCTGTACAGATATAAGGTACCATTCTCTGTCGCAAGGGTAGGGTTAGGCTAATGGCTCCCAAAATGCACTTCCTGAATTCCAGGCCCACACCTGGTGGATCAGACTCTCCAGGGTGAAGGGCCCAGGAATTTGCATTGGGAAAACCTCCCTGGTGGATCCTGATGTGACTTGCATAGACCAGCATGTAGGAACCCCAGGACTAGAAAACTGACCTCAGAAACCCCTGCTGACCTTCAAATTCATGTTGTTTAACACCCCCCCCACCCCCGCAGCTCCCCTTCTCACTCTGATGATACAATATTGAAATGTTTAAAATGAATACAAGTTTCCTGCAATGAGGGGTCCATCAGACTGGGTCATCAGACTGGCTGCAGGCAGACAACACAGGGCAGCAGGATGGAGGATGTGATGCACTTAGTAGGTTTACAGGTCCGGAAGAGGGCATGGCGGGGCAGACCCGGTGGTAAGCCTGATTCGGGCACCCATCCGGACATGACCCCTGAACTCCTTCCTCTCTGCCTTGGGTGCCCAAGTATGGAAGCGGGGATGCCAAGGGCCCAGGGGAACAAGGGAGGAAGTCATGGTCAGGCTGGGGTGAAGGGAGGGCCCAGGAACCCACAAAGGCACACCTACCTGTACAATGGGGTTGTGCAGGTTCTTCTGAACTGGGCCGGGACTGTCGCCCTGTAGCCAAAGGAGAAGAGACATGAACCAGCGGAGACACAGGACACATGAGAGCAGAGGTGGCCCGTGAGGCTTGGGATCTTTCGTGAAAGGAAGCCACCCCTTAGGGACCACCCTGCCTCTGAGCGGGGAGCCCACCCCCACCCTGAAGCAGATACTCTGATGGCTCGGGGGGAGGGCCTGGGGCTCACTGAGATGCTGTCAGGACGGGGGACCTGGCCCAAGGCTCCAGGGTGCTCTTCTGCCTACTCTGGCCTCTTGACCCCCAACGCCCTCTGATCAACAAATCAGTTACTCAAAGGCTTCTAAGTTCCTGTCCCAATTGATCCACTGTGTTAGACCTGGATGTTGGTTATACTTGGTGCTTTTCCTAAAGAAATACGATTTTATAGAAAGAACACAAAAAGAATTTGGAACAGGAAGACTCAGGAAACTGTAGCCTCTAACTCCCTCCACAAACACAGTGTATCTCTTACTTTGTGGAAGGGCAGAAGGACTCATCAGCCTGATTTAAGACACACAGGCTCCAGACAGTCCAGCATTCTGAAACTAAAGCAGAGCTACAGTACAAATTTGGGACAGTCTGGCTCCTCCTGCCCAGTTCTCCTTCCTGTGGTATACAAAAGTGGATGTGCAAAAGTCTTCACTACATCCCCCAAGTCAGTCTGTCCTCCTGGGGGGCAAACAGATAATTTGGAACACACACGCACACGCACACGCACGTGCCCACACACAAAATTACTAGGGCGACCCCTGATGGTTATTTCCGGAACTGCGGGCAAAGTGCCCATGAAGAAACAAAGCCTTTGTTCCTTGCCATGTCCATCAACTTGTTGCAACCTCTCTGTGCTGAGCAGCCACCTCTGCTAGAAATCAGTGGCCAGAGCCTGAGAGGATTGGCGTGTGTGTGCATGTGTGTGCGTGTGCGTAGGGACCCTTAGTCCACACTGGGCTGTTCTTGTTGTCAGGTCACATGCCTGAGAACGAAGGGTTACCTGGAGCTATTTTCAGGCTCTCCTGGCTTACCTGTGTGCACATCTGTTGACGTGGAACGAAGGTGGTTGGGGGGGGGGGGAGGGTGGGAATGGAACAAATGGTAGTTTAGTCTTTAGTCTTATCTCAAGGTGTACACACAGAGCTCACGGCAGGCAGCTAAAACAGGTTCACTCCAGGTAGGGCCATGTTTGCCAAATGCGTGGGGAAGAGAACGAGGCCAGTGCCCGCTGGAATACCCAGACAACTGGCTTACAAAAGCACACATTTCCTGGCTGCAGGTAAACTTGGAAGTGGACACGCTGGACTGAACAAACATACGGACAAACTGCCCGTAGCAGCAGGCATGCGCCAAGGCCAAGTTGGGCAAAAGGCTAGGCCTGTGCCAACACAATTCAGGAGGCTTTCAGAGAACCCTCGCTGCAGAGTAGATTTCCCAAAGATTTCGGCTGTCAGAGTTCCTTCTGGACCCATCAAGCGGAGACCAAAAAAAAAAAAAGGCCTGGGAGAAGGTATTCTCATTTGGGCTATGCACCAACAGTAGAGGGTTCTGGGCCATGCTAGAAGTGCTGGCTGAACACTAGTTAATAGTGGCCCCTCAGAACCAGAGAACAGATGTCAGCGCCCCCTCGCGGCCCAGCTTCTTCACCTTTGTCACCAGGGTGCTCTCCTGGGGACAAAGAACCAACCCACTGCTTCCTTCTAGAAACCTCCAGTTAAAAAAGAAACCCAGCCCTTTGTGGGGCCCAGGCCGGCAGGTGACCTTCTCCCCGTTACCACATGGGCTGAATAAGGCCCCGGGCCAGCCATCTGCTTCCCACACCACCAGGCGGTGGCAACTTATTTTAAGTTTAGTCTCAGCTATTTTTATAAGCACTTTTCATTGTTATTGTAGATAGAAAAGAATGTTTCCACTATAAATACTTACATATAGAAAAGCTACCGATTTTTAGAAATTGATTTTTCAAGCAGCCCCGTTAGGTACCAGATTATTATTCGTTCTAATGGCTTTTCAAGGTTATTCTTTTGAGCTTTTCAGGTAGATAATGGTACCACCAGGAAGTAAGGGTTCTTTTGTCTTTCTCTCCCACTATATCCACCCCGTTTTCTTTTTCATTATCGATCTCGCTGGTTAATCGAGCAACCTTGGGTCTTTGAGAAAGCCTTCCCATACATTTGCAGACCCACCCTATTGGGGCTCTGTCTCCGGACATGGCAGGGAGCCCTCTGTATTGTCAACCACGTGACAGAACAGGAATGCAGAGCGACCCCCAACGCTCAACCCCAGTGTTTCATGTTTGGGCCTAGTCAGGTGTCCTCCAGTCCTCAGACCTTTGACCCACCTTCAGTGACCCCCTCAGTCCTTGGGAGCCCGCGTGCCCACCCTACTAGCCATCAGGTGTTAGGGGACTAGGGACATGAGCCTCTCAGTCGCTGGCACCCATGCAACCCAAGTGCCAACACACTCAGAACAAATTCGTGGACACCTTTCCCGAGGCAAAATGCACCCAGGCTTCTGGAAGCTCAAAATCACCTGGCTCGCGGCTGGATGAAGCCTGGGAGCTGGCCCTACAGCGAAACGGAGCGCGCTGCTGAGGCCCTGGCTGGGGAGGGCGGGGTCTGGGAGGAGCCCACGTCTCACACAGCCCGCCAGAGGGAACCCCGAGTGGCCCAGCCGACGCAGCCCGCCTTCCTCTGCATTTTCCTTGCCCTCCCGGACACAAGGAGCAAATGGGCCTCCTTTCTTTCTTTCTCTCCCCACATCCATCTCTTCTCGCAAAAGGAAAGAACAGAACAGGAAATGCCTCCGCCAGAGTGCTCCCTGGGTGGACGAGAGGAAAGAGCGAGTGCGTCCCCACCCTCCGCCGCCCCAGCGGTTTCGGGCAGGGCCCGGGGCCCAGGCCCTGCTGCTGCTGGCCTTACGTTGCAGAGGGAGTGCGTCCGGTGTCGAGGGGAGTTGATGTCGCTTGGCGTGGAGGACCGGTCACCTTCGGCGGCAGATGCGTCGGAGATGACAGAGGGCTGCCGGGAGTGGCAGGGGCTCACCCTGACCGCTGGAAAGCAGGGACAGCTGGTAAGTGAGGGGTGGAGAGAATGTCCTCGCCTTTACGACCCTGCGGGTGATTCCACCAACGCCCCCTTAGACAGCTGAGAACAGAGGCGTTGAGAAGACACCTGCCCAGCTCTCCAGGAGGAATCTCCCATCATGGCCTCTGGATCCAGCTCAGTGGCCGTCCTTACCATGCTCCCAGCACCTGGATGTTCCCCAAACCTGGTATAATCCTAACCGCTGGTCAACACCAGCTTCCCAGGCGAGGAACCGAGAGGCCGCCACCAGCTCCTCTTTACCCCACACCCCAGCAGCATCAGCTCTTCTAAACACACCCCAAATCCGTCCACTTCGCTCCAACCCCACTGTCCCCACCTGAGCCCAAGCCAGCCTCCCGGGGGCTCCCCCCACTCCTCGCACTGCAGGGACAGCCAGGCATCGGGTCACCCTGTGGGTAAAATGCACGTTCCTGCTCCTGACCTCTGAGGCCCGCAGGGATACAGCCCTGTCCACCCCACCGCCTCGGCTTGCGTCACCCCAGCCTTCCGAGGGTGCCTGAAACACGCCATCTCCCTCCTGCCCCAGTCCTGGGCCCCTCAGGGACGCACTCATCGTCCAGGTCTGTCCCCAGAGCCCTTCCTCAGCAATCAGCTCGCCCCCGTCTTTCTGTCGATGTCCCTCCCTGTACTAATCAGTCTGTAATGTGTCATCCTGTGTCACCCTGGGGGTCTTATCCTGTGGAACCCCCGCGCGCACGGGGCTCGGCCGGTAGCAGGTGCTCAATCAGTGGTCGCTGAGGGAAGGCTCAGCTGGGGGCACAGCTGGAAGCCTGCAGGCTCCTTTCCTGCTGCAGGCGGCACCACGTGGCTGGAGGCTGACTGAGGGCTTCCTGTGCGCAGGGAGCATGGGAGCGGGCGGGGCCCTATTCCCGGGACACGGTCCTTGTCGCCAGTGGCCATGAGGCCTGATGGGGGGAGGCGTGGAGGGGCTTTGGAGTCCCAGCTTGGTGGGTTCCCAGCTAGGTGACGTGACAGCAGGACTTTGGGGCTCCAAAGGCCAACTGCCTATCCCCAACCTGCATCTGTCACACAAAGGCAGCCACTCACGGGAGTGACAGAGACTGGAGCCAGGTGGATGTGCAGAGGAGTTTGGGTTTGGGGCTGTACTGTGGCCGGTGGTGTAGATGCTGCCCAGAGGCTGGGTCCTCCCTCCCCCCAGGATCTACAACAAACACCTATGACATTTATTTCTGGCACATCCTGTGACTGTGTGGAGCTGTCAATCAAGCTCAGCAGTCTCCCCTGCCAAAGGATGCCACGTGACCCAGGCAGAGAACCAGTGTACTGGCTCCCTAGGCTCAGCCATCGGGCCTGGGGTAGGCATGTGACTCAGGCTGGCCAATCAGAGTCCTTCTTTGGGATTTGCTATGGACAGACAGAAGGGATCTTGCACCCTTCGCAGGACTGTTGAGCTGTAAGCTAAAATCCTGGCACAGCTGGGGGCTATCTGCTGCCTCATGGAAAGAGACCAATTAAAGACGAGGCCAACTGGAGGCAGGCAGAGCCAAGAGACACAGGGAGACAGAAGGACAGAGCCAGGCACTGTCTAAGCCTCAGACGCAGCCGTGCCCGAGGTCCATCTCTCAGGCTTTGCGGTTGCATGAGCCGCGGCTTCCGCCCCACACCCCCCTACGCAGCTGCAGGGCACACGGAGAGGCGGCCTCCTGAGACGCCCCCAGCGGGCCGGGCGGGACTCACCTTGCCGGTCTGCAGGGTGCGGGGGGTGCGAGTGGTAGAGAGTCTGCTGGCTCTGCCGGATGGCCGCGGTCAGCGGCAGGTCCGCCTGCACCACCCACTCCTGGTTGCCGTTGAGCACCGTCTCGCCCGGCATGGCGAGTGAATGCCGCTTGGGCACGTCCTTGGTCAGCGTGGCTAAGGACTGCTTGGCCTGGAGAGAGAGCCGGCGAACAGGAAGGGGATGGCGTGACCAAGGGGACCTCGTGGCCCGCTGCCTGGCCGTCGCCCACCATTGTGAGAAACCCATGAACTGACCTCTGTACGAGGGCCTAGCAGCAGGTCAAGCGCCGGCACTGCAGGCCTCCCTGGGGGCCCACCTGGGGTACCCCTTAGTTCCTGACACCGCAAGGAGACCAGCAATGCAGAGGGAAAGGGGGCCATGCACGCACTTATCACGCATTCTTTGGGGTTCTGAGGACCAGCTGGGATTTGAAAGACACTGTAAGAAAAGGGTGTCCCATCTGGCTCCCGTCACCTTGGGTCCACCCAAATTCAACCCTTCACAAGGTGCTGCCTACCCCTGGCTCTCAGGGTCCCATGATGAGAATGCACGGGACACGAGGAAGCCAGGGACGTGGGTGGGGCTGAGCCCGGGTGGGCGGGCTAGTCAGACAGCTCTTGTTTTCTCTTTCCGGGGACTGAGGTCTCTCTTAGCTTTGGGCTACCTCCCCCCAGGTTATGTGGGGTTTTATTAGAAACAATTGCAAGTTATCTTGGGGAGAAAAGGGCACATATTAGACCCTTTTCAACACGGTTAATGTCTACCTCCGAACGGGCCCCCAGGCTCATGCCAGGGCAGAGAGGGGGGTACACGGAGGGGCCCGAGGGGCCCGCACTGAGCTCCAGAGGATGCGATGACCCCACGGGGTCGTTCCAGATGGCAGAGCCACCGTGAGTGCTGGCTTTTCCCCCAGTAATGAACACAGATAAAATGAGAAACTTCCTGTCATCTCTCCAGCTCCAGAACTTGCCTAAGGCCCCAGGCTCTTCCTGGCAGAGCGGAGATTCAAACCAATAAACAGACAGTCCTTGGCCTAAAGCCTGACACAGCCTCATAATGCTGACAGCTGTTATCTTAGGTAAGGCACTGCCTTCTCTGAGCCTCAGTTTCCACATCTGTACAATGAAAAGCCTGGACCAAGTGATCTATAGGGTTCTCTCCAGCTCAGACACCCCGGGTGCTGCGGCGGACCGTGCCCGGGGCCATCACCAGCCTCCGGGGAATATGAACCTACATGGCAGAGGTAGGTCAAGTGGAGGGTGTCAGCCCCGTCCTAGGCCAGGTAATAATCTCCTCCTGGATTAGAAAACCTGCAAGTGCTCAGTGCAACAGCCCTGGGTCTCAAGTAGGGAGTGGGAATGATCTACGCTTGACCGAGGAGAAACCAGAAGCTCAGAGAGGTTCAGTGACTTCTCTGAGAGTGCACAGCAGGCATAACACCGAAGCTGGGCTCCAGGCCCGGGTGTCCGACTGTGAGCCCCTTGTGGGTCCCATGGTGCCCATGCTCCTCTGTGACGTGAAAATAACCAGCACAGGTGACGCAGACAGTCCGCGAGGCACAGAATGGGGCGTGTCTAGTCCAGGCCCCCAGCACCGGGCTCAGGGCTGAGCACAGGCAGGGAAGCACTGGGTAAGAACCTGCGGAATGAACAGAAGCAGGCCTCCGCTGTGTTGGGCTGAAGGCCTAGGAACCAGCTCGGCTAACTCACTACCAGAAAGAGGGAGCAATCCCTCCGCTGGAAGGAGCTGGTGGGGCGGGGCGGGAATGGGCGGGGCTGACCTGCCCTCCGTTTGCAGCAGCCCCAGCTTCCTGGACCCGGCACCTTACTCAGGACCACATCCGCTTTCCCCTCCGGGTGCACGTGTGTCTGGACCCTCCATCCTGGCGGCACTCCACGTGGGCCACTGCTCCTGGGGGGATGTCCCGCTCCCGGCCTCCCACCTAATCCGTCTCAGCTGCCTCCAGGGTGGAGGGAGATGAGCACCCAGGCGGTCTGCCACCCTGTGGTCATCAACGCTCCGCCCTGCCTGCTTGCAGCATCCCTAGCACATACTTGGGAGGCAGCATCCCTAGCACATACATGCGAGGCAGCATCCCTAGCACATACATGCGAGGCAGCATCCCTAGCACATACATGCGAGGCAGCATCCCTAGCACATACACGGGAGGCAGCATCCCTAGCACATACACGGGAGGCAGCATCCCTAGCACATACATGGGAGGCAGCATCCCTAGCACATACACGGGAGGCAGCATCCCTAGCACATACACGCGAGGCAGCATCCCTAGCACATACATGGGAGGCAGCATCCCTAGCACATACACGGGAGGCATGGGGAGAGGCTGGGTCACTCTCCCTGCTCCTCGGGCTTACTTCCCCCAGCGGAGCCTCGCCTAGCGGGGGCTCGGAATGGCTTGGCATCTGGGCTCCCTGACACTGGGCATTCCGCTGCGGAGGGTCCTGCAGGGTGGAACGGTTTACCTGGGCGTTCTGAAGCCCCTCTCCCAAATGGCCCACTCACGACTTTGAACCTGACAGGCTGCAACAGAGACGCGGACTGCGGAGGAGCAGGTGCGATCTTACCGGGACCCTGCCCGCACTGGGTGCTGCGGTGGACCGTGCCCGGGGCCATTCACACGGCATCCTGACCGACCTCTTCCACCACAGGCAGTGTGATGCCGGGACCCTGGCTCCCTCTCCTCCTCTCTGAGCCTCTGCACCCCTCCCGCGTGCTCTGAACCCCGAGTTTGAAGCTCCTGGGAACTGGTGAGCTGCTCAAACACCCCCGGTGACAAAAGCCAAAGAGACGGTTCAGACTCCACTTCTGTTACCTAATTGCTGGGTGGCCTTGAGCAAGTTAGCCCATCACTGAGCTTCGGGTCCTCCTTGGTGAGATGGCGAAACCGAGAGGGCTCTCTTCTATGTGAGCAGCGCCCCCTGGAGTTGTGCAGTGAGATGGCCCAGCACCGCACTCTGAAATCAGACGGCCAGGGTTCGAGCCTGGTGGCACTGCCCCGTCTCAGCTGGGGGATCCTGAGAGAGGCCCCTCGCCTCCGCGCTCTGTGCCCTCATCTGTCTGACGGGAATAACACGGCTGCTATGGAGAGTGTTGGCCCGTGGTAGAAGTACTCAATAGATGTAAGTGTGGTGAGTGTCTGTTTCACAAGTAGGTGAGACGTGGGACGTTCACAGGAAGGCCAGGACGCTGTCTGGCCTAGTGACACAGCGTTCAGGACTGCATGTCCTCCCTTAAGAGGAGGCGCCACAATCCGGGAGGCGGAGGATGCTGCCCTTGCCCAGCCCCTGGTCTGGCCCACGAGGGCCCCCCGCTGCCTGGGGGGTCTTCACCTCTGGAGGTCAGCACGAGTTTCCATGTTAGAGGGAGAACCTGGCCCTGAAGGATGCAGGTCCTTTGAACCCGAATCCATCCCCGGCTTTTCGAGGGCTTCCTGCCTATCTAGGGAACATCTCTCCAGGCCAAAGGATGGAGGATCCAGGGGCAGGAACCTTCCAAAGAAACACAAGAAGGTTCAAGGTGCTGTGAATGCCATCGGAGCAGACTCCGCGTCTGAACCCAACGGGGACCACGCTGGCTGCGAGTTGACTCAGCGACCCTGTTCCAGGGCTTGAGTGGCCGGGACCCTTTCCAGACCTCAGGGCCGCCGAGGCAGCCGGTGTGGTGGAGGCGCCCGGCCAGCAGGAGCCGATGAGGCAAATACCGGCCCCACCATCGCCAGCAACCGCGGGCTCTGGAGGTGGATGGAGTTCGAGGGGACGGGCTGGGGCCGGCCCTGACCTTATACGTGGTGGCTGGGGTCCAGGGCTTAGGCCCCATGCTGGGAGCTGGCTGTGGGCCAGGCTGGCCTGCTGGTCCAATAGGGCAGTGGTCCAGGGCCAGGAGGTGGTGCCCACCCGGAGCACAGCCGTCAGAAAGGGAACAGAGACACCGGCCACCTCCCTGGCTCCTCTGCTGCTCAATCCTGCCTCCCACCAGGCCTGACTCTCCCCTGGGCCAGACGAGCAAACAGGCCCAGGCAGGTTCGAGTGACATGTTCAAGGTCACACGATGACTGACCAGTAGAACAGACATGCGGATCCATGTCCCCCTGTCCCCTGAGGACAGGATGGGTCTAGGTCTAGGACACAGTAGCGCAGCTGATGTTTATCGAGCACCCACGCGGTCTGCCCTGACTCACCACCACCTCACTGTCGCCCAGGAGGGTCTTACACATGTGGAAACTGAGGCTCAGAAAGGTGAAGTCCCAGAAAATGGCAGGACCCAAACTGGGACTGCGTTGGAACTGACTGGCCAGGGCACGAAGAGACGCAGAGACTGGGGACCTGGCGCTGGATTCTTGAGAGACATCCCCCTTCAGAGGACTGACTGGTTCTCAACTGGAGCCAATCCCCCCAGGGCATGCTGGGAAAGGTCTGGAGCCGGTTTGGTTTTCACAGTGGGAGGTGACACTGGCATCTGTGGGTGGCGCCCAGGGATGCTGCTACACCCCCAGGCACGCGCAGCCCACGACAGACTCATCTGCCCCAGTGTCAACAGGGTCGAGGGTGAGAAGCCCCGCAGACAGAGGGGCAGCAAACTGTAAGACTTTTTCCTGTCTTGGAGAAGCATCGTCAACAGAAAATGAGGTCAAATGAGGTTGGCGTAAACAGACCCCTGGGGGCAGAACGATGTTGCAGGAAGCCCCGCCCCCTCTGTGTGACTGTGGGGAAAGTCAGCATCTGGACATCCTTCAAAGGCCTCCAAGTAAAGCCATCACAAAATGGGGCTCAGGGACCCCACAGTTCCCAGCTCCGCCTCCAACGCACTGGGCAGCTCCGGGAGGGACCCCTGAGCCCCAAGCCTGTTTCCACACATGTAAAATGGGAACAACAAGAACACACACCACACTGGAGTGACTGCTAACAGCATGCACTTCTCTTTAGGGTGATAAAATTATTCTGGAACTTGACAGTGGTGATGGGTACACAACTTTGCAGACATACTAAAAACCAGAGTTGCGCGTGTTAAAAGGATGCATTTATGGTATGTGACTTATATCTCAATAAAGCAAGATATGGAAAAACATACACATACACACACCAGGGTGGTCCACGGAGCCAATGCGGCTACAGAGAAGAAAGGCTCCATGGGTAGCAATGTCCGATGTGCCCAGTTATCAGGGAATGTCTCCCCCAAGCAGGGGCTGCTGAGCAGGCCACTGTGTGTGGCGTCCTGGCTTCCCTACCTCTGTGGCTGCCTTCAGCCCCCCACCCTCCACTGCACCGGGGAGCTCCTGATTTCCTCCAATGCACACCTGTGCGCTTAAACTGGTGCAGCTGCTTCCTGGGGCTGCAACCCAAGGACGGGAAGTGGGTCTCGCCCTGGCCAGCGGGGCCGTAGGGGAAGCTGGACACTGCCGCCTGGTGCAGGCAGCCCTGGAGGCCTCCAGGTGGTGCAATCCTGCAGATGGCGGGCCATGGAGGGGACCTCCTTCCAGGTGGGCACCCCAACAGCACTGAGGCTGTCGGCTCTTAGGGAAGCCCTTTTCCTCCGCATCAGAGCCCTTTTTCTTGTTACAAATCCATCACCCTGAGCTGCAAACTTTCACTCGAACTATTCACTTAGCAAAGGGGCCCGATGCCTGCCAGAGGGAGAGGCAAGAACCTGAGTTTTGTTGCCAGAAGGGAAGCGAGCTGAGTAGTCTGGGCATGGGGACAGTGGAAGCAGAGGGGAGCGGGCTTGTGATCCTGAAAGACCCCGGAGTTCCCCAGGATGCTTGAGGCCAGTGCTCCAAGGCAAGAAAGACAAGTCTGTCTGTCCACAGGGTACTGGGGAGACCTGGCAGAACAGGCAGGCAGCAGAGGCACAGCACTGCTGACCCCACTGGTGGGAAGCCCCCCATCTCCACCCCAACAGGGGACCTGACAGCTGCAGCTTCTTCTGGCCCTGCGCAGTTCTCACCACTAGGGGTCAGCATTGGACAAGGAGACCCATGGGTCCTGACCAAGACAGCCCAGGGTCCAGAAGAAGTGACCACAGAAAAGCATGACCTCATATCACCACTCACCATGGACAGGCACCGTACTAAGCACTCCCCTTGAATTATTTCATTGACATCCTCACAAGAGCCCTAGGAGATATATGCAATCACTCCTATTTAGAAGTGATGAAATTGAGGCTCAGAAAGGTGAAGGGTCCCGCCCAAGGTCACACAGCTAGAAAGTGATAGGGGCTGGATTCGAAGCCAGAACCAATGGCTGTAACCACACTGTTAGCTCTGCAGGAGAATGTTGAACCATGGAGGCCTCCTCACCCCTCAGGGGCTCCCTAGTGCTTCCGAGCCACCTTGTGGGGCACACTGTGTGGGATAAAGACCCCGAGTCTCACCCCAGTGAAGCCCAGAGAAGTTCAGTGAGTGGCCCAAGGTCACACAGAAGCAGGCAGAACAGAACTCCAGGGCTCTGAACCTCAGTTTTTCTGCCAGGTCTGGACACACCACCTGGGCTCTCTGTGTACGTACCACCACAGAAAACACAGTTTTTATAAGTATTTTGAAGGTTTTGTATTAGAAAAAGTAACAGTTTTCCTTGATGACCCAAGTAAGACATTCTCACTATAGATGAAAACAAGGCAAAGCAAGGAAAATAAGACTCACTTGTAATCCTAGTACCCAGAGATAACCATTGTTAACATTTTGGTGTATTTCCTCCCAAATGTTTTCCTAAACAAATATGTTATTATTTTAAACAAAAATGGGGAGTAGCCTGGGGAGTGAGGAAGAGTGGAAGGTCTCTCAGCACCCCACACCCGGGACCCTGGCAGGTGGGTGAAAGGCTGCCCCAGGCTCAGGGGTTGATGTGGAGAGATGCCTATCATCACAGACCCCGCCCCTGGCCCCGCCCCTCCGCCGCCCTGCGCTGCCTGACGCCACTCCAGGATTCTGAGTCCTGTCCTGTTTCCCAGCACACAGCACACGCCCTGCCCCGAGCACCCTGGGGGTGTGAGGGCTGGGCTGGGAGGGGCGGGGTCTCACTGGGGGTGTGAGGGCTGGGCTGGGAGGGGCGGGGTCTCACCATGGCCAGCTCGGCCTCCAGCTCCTTCATCCGGTTGTCTTTGAGGTCCAGCTGGGAGCGCAGCGCCGTGGCGTGGTCCGTGGCCTCCTTGGCTTGGCGCCGGAGCTCCCACTTCTCCCGCTCCAGCAGGTCCTTCTCCTTAGCCAGGGCCTTGACCGCGTCCTCGCTCTCCTGCAGGGAGAGAGCGCTGGCATTACCGCGGGGTGTGCGGGGCCTCCCCTAGGCCTTGCCCTCCAACCACAGGGAGACACGGCTGTGGCTAGGAGCTCAGGCTCTGTCCTGGGTTCGAATCCTGCATGCCACACATGAGTGGGAGGCTGAGCAGACACAAACCATTAGTAGACACCCAGGAAATATTTTTCAATGACTAAATGAGCAAATGGAGGTCATGGGTAAGTTGACTTCATTCAGTCTCGGTTTCTCTGTATTTAAAATGGGGGTGGGGTGGGGGTGCTCAATACTATGTTTCAAAGAGTTGTTACAAAGATCGAATTCCTGTGAGGGAAATCTTTAAACAGTCTGACAAAAGTTTGGGTCAAGCCCACCTGGTGTGGTTCGGTGGCTGAGCGTCGACCCAGGCACCAAGAGGTCACCAGTTCAATTCCCAGTCAGGGCACATGCCCAGGTTGTGGGCCTGATCCCCAGTGGGGGGCATGTCGGAGGCGGCCAATTGATGTTCTCTCTCATTAATGTTCCTATTTCTCTCCTTCTCTCTAACATCAATAAAGAAAAAATAAAAGTTTGGGTCAATAGTGGGTTTGGGGCTTTATTTTGTTGTTTGGTAAATGTACGTTGCAGGGATACAGGGAGAGAGAAGGAGACACCTGTAGCCCAGTCACCCTGGCTGCCACCACCCTGTGAAGTCCCAGCCCATAGTGAAGCAGGCTGAACCCCTCAGAGCTGCCCCCCTGCGTGAGCTCCAGCCGTGCCGTTGGGAGCAAAGGCAGCAGGCAGGGAACGCACGGCTGAATCGGGGGGCCTGACCTCTGTTGGTAAGAGCCAAGTTTCAGAAGAGCAGGGGTCCCTTCCGAGGAAGGTCCCCGCAGGGCGCTGGGCCCAGCCACCCTGCCACGGCCTTCCTGTTCACCAAATCAAGAGCCAAACTCAAGGTCTCCACGTAGCCTGGGACCATGGAGAGAGGCAGCCTTCCCGCCTCATCTAACCACCCTGTCGTCGGAGGCCTGACTTCAGCTGGCCAGGGACCAGGAGGGAGACACCCGGCCCTTTCTCGGTGGCTGTAGCTATGGCTTAGCTTCTGAGTCTCAGTCGAATTCTGGCTTTGCGAGGATGAGCTGTGATGATTACTGTGCCTCAGTTTCCTCATCTGTAACGGGGATGACACCAGAGGTGTACGGCAGTGTTACTGTGAGGACTGAAGGAGACCACACACGCAGAGAGCTGAGCATGGGACCGGGACACACCAGGCGCGCCCCCCTCACTCACTGTTCTCCCAGCAGCTTCCCCGACCACCTGTCGTGGGGAGCCGCCCTGGGTTCTCAGCGACCCGCTTTCTGGTGCCTGGTATGGCTCCTTCAACCAATGCTCAAGGTCCATCGGCAGGCATAACCCAGACCAAAGTCCCCGCGCCCACGGAGCTTACTCGGGGGCGCCCTACTGCGTGCCCGCTGTCCGAGCAGACGTGCCCTGTTCATGGACAGACACCCGGTAAATCCTGCTGAGTAAACGACTGTGCAGCCCGGCAGGTGGCTCAGTTAGCTGGAGCACTGTCCTGTACGCCAAAAGGTTTCAGGTTCGATTCCCGATCAGGACATGTGCCTAGGTTGCGGGTTCAATCCCCAGTCGGGGTGGGTACGGGAGGCAACGGCTGGATGTTTCTCTGTCACGTGGATGTTTCTCTCTCCCTCCCTCCCTCCCTCTCTCTCTAAAAATCGCTAAGAACATATCCTCGGGTGAGGATTAAAAACACAAACGGGAAGCACATACCATAGCTGCCATCGTGGAGCAGTTCTGGCAACATGGGTGAGGGGAGGACGTGCTTTCTACGTCACCAGCCCCCCGCTTCTCGGTGTCCACCGGAGGAGGTGGTCCAGGACATGTCACTGACCCCCGCACGCTGGGGCCACGCTGGCTGACTGGAGTCTCAGGCTGGTGCATTACAAGTTTCTGGTCACCGGCCACATTACTTAACCCCCACACCTGCAGAGAGTCACTCCGTTTGTGAGACAGCGACAATCGCACGCCCCAGGGGGGTGGTCAGAAGGCCATTCCACTGCTATTTCTCCTTCCTCGCTGGAGCTGTGTTCCGGGGGTCAGGACCCCTGGCTCACATCATGGACTGACTCAGCTCTTCCAGCACCCACGGCATGTGAGCGCCTTCTCCAGGGCCGAGCCCCGACCTGGGCATCGCCCTGTGTCTAGCAGCCACCCAGGAATGAAGTGTGTGGAACTGGGCAACCGGATAAGGGTCGTTCCTCAGAACTGGCTCGTGTACAAGAGGCTGCTTACATGTCCCTGAATTAGGAGGAAGGCCCCCTAGGACCCTCGGGATCGTTTCTGTGTCCACGTCTCTGCAGGCACCGGCTCCGCTGGTCACGAGCAGAGCAAGGGCTCTGGGCGGGGGGAGGCTGGCAGGCGCTTTCCGCCTTGGTGAAGACAGACACTCCGTCCCGCGATCACAATCCCCCATGTCTGTGCACCCGTCAAACACGGTGCTGAGGGCGTGAGGTGGAGGAGCTCCCCCAGCCCCACAGACAGTGCGGTGGAGTCTAGTCCTTGCTGAGACCAGAGGCAGGAGCGGGACAGAAAGGAGACCTGCCTGGGGTGTGGCGCCTGCTGGGGAACAGGGCTGGCTGGAATCATGAGCGTAGGATTGGCCTGATCGTGGGGGGCCTTGGATGCCAAGCTGGGAGCTGAGGTCCCTCTGGCCTGAAGGCACGCGGGACTCTCCTGGACAGAGAGCAGAGGGGTGCTGTGAGGAGGCCGCAGGGAGACGCAGGCCTGGCTGGCTGAAGGCGGCCTGCTGGGACAGCGGCCGCCCCTCTGAAGACTGCCCTGTGTGCAACCCTCAGCCCGTCTTCAGCTGGGTTCACGGAGGACCCCCAATGCCCGCTAAACCGCACTGTGTGGTGGGGAGCATGACTGGCACCGCCTTCTGGGATGTTGCAATTCTGTGAACTCTCGGGCACCCCAACCCCTTGTCTCAGCAGCCTGTGCTGAACCCCCTTCCCACCCTGGACCCCGGAGCTCCGAGAGCTGAGGTCCTGCTAGCTGTCCAGACGACGGCTGCAGGGGTCCCGGGAAGAGCTGGGTGGGCCATGGCAGGCTGAGTGGCCGGAGCCCAGGGGTGAGGGGCGCCTGGGTTCCATGACTCCTGTTCATGGGGAGAGCTACCTTGCACATAAAATGCAAGTCAAATTTTAAAAACCAGCCGTAGGATCTTTGAAGAGGAATAATACCAGGACTTCTGGCTTTAACTTCTCCAAATCAGCTCTGAATATTGGCCTTGCGTCAGTCACTGGACCCTTCCGTCTCAGTCCTCCCATCTGCAAAATGGGCTTGCACCCAACAATGATTAGAAATCATGAAAGTGGCCCTGGCCAGTTTGGCTCAGTGGTTAGAGCGTCGGCCTGCGGTCCAGAGAGACCCGGGTTCGGTTCCCGCTAAGAGCACGTACCTCGGTTGCAGTTTGTCCCCGGCCCTGGTTGGTCGTGTGAATGGCAGCCACTCGATGTGTCCCTTTCACATCGATGTTTCTCTCTCTCTCTCTTTCTTCCTCTCTCTCCCTCCTGTCTCTATCTGAACAAAAAAAATGAAAAAATGTCCTTGGGTGAGGATAAAAAAAAAAAAAAAAATCATGAAAGTCTCGCTAGTACACGGATACGCTGGAGGCACGGGAGTGACTCTCTCCTCATAACAAGGTTTACGATAGTGATGGGAAAAAAAAATGAGTCTTTTCCAAATTTCATTTTTCCGAATGAATCTAAAGGGTATTGTGAAGGCATTCCATCACTGTGACCCTCGGCGCTCTGCTGTGGCCACCAACGGCCGCCCATGGCCACCACAGCTACAGGGCCTCTGATCACTCAGCAGCGTCACCTCCACCCACACTGCTGGCTGAACTTAGGAGATGCCCCTGGTTACCTGTGGCTTTGAATGGAAGGCAAGAACAGGTGGGTGGGGTCACACGAGTGGGCTCAGGGTATGCAACCTGCCACCCCCTTTTCATGGCTGGGATCCCTCAAAAGTGACTTTAACTAGGCCTCAGTTTTTGCCTCTGTGAAATGGGGATAATAAGGACAGTCATGCCTCGCAGGCCCCTCCAGCTGGGGAAGGAGAGAGGTAGACCGAGAGAGGCAGGTGGCGCTAAACCATCATGTGTCCTTTAACCACGGGTACATTCTGAGAAACGTGTCGTCAGGCAATCTTGTCGTGCAAACATCATAGAAATACACGAGCCCTGAGGGCACAGCCCACCACACACCTGGCGCTGTGGCCCAGCCTACTGCTCCTGGGCCACAAGCCTGCCCATGTCCCTGTACTGCACCCTGTGGGCAGGTCACACAACGGGAAGGATTTGTGTATCTAAATGAATCTAAACACGGAAAAGGTCCAGTAAAAACAGAGTATAAAAGATCAAACACGCCACACCCGAGCAGGGCTCTGCCCGTGGATGGAGCTGCCAGATTGGACGCTGCTCCGGGGAGTCCGTGAGTGAGTGGAGGGGGCCCGAGGCCCTGGGGCAGCACCGGACACCCCGGCAGACTCACGACACTGCCCACCATTTACACAAATGTCTTTCTTTCCTCCCTAACAAATTAACCTCCGCTCACCGTACTTCTTGAACTTTACTGTGTGAACTTTTAAATTTTTAAAAGAACTTTGACTCTTTTGTAATAACACTTAGCTTAAAAACACAAATATACTGTACAGCTGTACAAAAAATTGTCTTCTTTAAAATTTAATTTAATTTTTAATTTTTTTACCCTCACCTGAGGACATTTTTACATTCATCTTCAGATAGGGAGGGAGAGAAGAGGAAGTGAGAGAGAGAAACATCGACGTGAGAGAGACACACCGAGTGGTTGCCAACCACACGACCGCAACCGGGGCCGGGGACAAACTGCAACCGAGGTACGTGCCCTTAGCGGGAACCGAACCCGAGACTCTCCAGTCCGTGGGCCGAAGCTCTAACCGCTGAGCCAAACCAACCAGGGCAAAATTCTCTTTTTTAATATCTTTATTCTATAAGCTTTTTTCTATTAATATTTTTCTTTTTAAACTCTTTTGTTACACACACACACACACACACACACACGCCTAGGCCGGCACAGGGTCGGATCATCCATTTCACTGGCTCCCACACCCTGCCCCACTGGAAGGTCTCCAGGGGCCATGCAATGCCTTCTGGGTGTTGCCCGAAGGACCTGCCCGAGGCGCTGCTGGAGGACGTGTCCCTCTTTGCAGAAATACGTCCATGGCGGTTTGCTTGGTTTCCTTCTTTTCCATCACAGATGAGCTTGTGAGCAGGAATGCACCATGAACATTCCTCTCTAGCAATGACAACTTTCGGTGCTGGGGTTGACGACAGGAATGTACAAGCTTTTCAGGAGCTTGTTGAGGTCTGCAGAAGCTTCTTCTAAACCCTCCACTGTGCATTTTCCTGGGGGTTCTGCTTTCCCCGCAGTTTCCCTTCCTCCTCTCCTTCAGCTACGCGCTCCTGCTCCAGTCCAACAGCTCAGTCAATTCCTCAGGACCCGCCTCTAGCAGCTCCTCAACGTCAGCCTCACCCACCCGGGCTGAGCCGTCTGCCATCTGAACCGCAGCCTCGCGGGTTTTTGCGACCTTGGCACTACGACCTCATGATGGCTACGTTGTCACGAGGCAACATGAATTTATCAGTTCTGCTCCAGTTTTATGGGACCACTGTCGTACGTTCAGTCTGCCATCGATCAAAACACCATCATGTGGTACATTCCCGTCGTATAAATGTCGGTGTCCCGCCCAAATTCACACATTGGAATCCCAGTGCCCAAAACGACAGTTTGGGAGGTGAAACCTTAGGGAGGCGACTAGGTCCTGAGGGTGGAACCCTCCTGAATGGGCTTAGTGTCCTTACAAGGAGACTCCAGAGAGGTCCTTGTCCCTTCTGCCAGGTGAAGGCACAGTGAAAAGTCCGAGACCTGGAAGATGACCAAGAAGGCAGGCAGCGGCAGGAAGTTCCCTTTCCTCTCCTGCTTCCAGTGTCTCCTCATCGCCACATCCTGTCTACAACGACAGACCTGGGGCGGCCGACGCCAAGGGCTCAGCCCACCCACTGCGAAGGGTGCAGGCAGCGGAAGTCGCCCTGCTGCTTGGGCCGGCACCCAGGATAGCTGCAGGTTCCACAGTCAGAGGCTGTGGGTGGCCCAGGGAGCTCGCTGCACGTGTGGGAGGTGAGAGAGGCTCAATGCTGGTGAAGACCACAGTGGGCTGCAGGGATGAAGCGTTTCTTATTTATTTAAAGTTTTATTTTTTATTTTTTCCTTTATTGATTTCAGAGAGAGAGAGGAAGTGAGAGGGAGAGAAACACTGATGAGAGAGAACATCGATTGGCCGCTCCTGCACGTCCCCCACTGGGGATTGGGCCCACAACCTGGGCATGTGCTCTGACCGGGAATCGAACTGGTGACCTCTTGGTGCATGGGGTTGACGCTCAGTCACTGGGACACACTGGCCAGATAGGGATGAAGCATTTAAATCGAAATCCCGCCTCTGACATTCTGGCCTCTCAACTCAGAGGCAACACACGTGAACGCACGCGGGGATCCAGCCTGCCGGCACCCACTGTTCAAAGAACTTAGCAAACCCTCTGTGGCCCACAAAGCTGAAGGAATGAACCCCCAGCTGTTTTCTCCCCAGAGTACATGTGGACCTTGGTCACAGCCCTTGTCGTCATGTACGTGAAGAGCAGTGTTCCACAGTGTCTCTGCCCTGCACACAGGAAGGTCACAGCTCTCTCCCTGCAGACGCCATGGCTCACTAAAGACTGCCTGGCTGGGGGGACTGACTCTCTTTTCTTTAAGTTTTGGTACCTTCTTCAACATGTCCACGCCACGTATACCAGACAGATAACTGCTGACCCACGTTCCTTCTTTGCTTCGCCATAACCGACCATAAACTCCTACGCATCCCACAGAGCCCAACTCATAGTCACCTCCTCTGTGAAGCCTTCCAAGACTGTCTCCCTGCATGCAGAATTTCCTGCTGTCTCAATGGTGCTCCCCAGCTCTCTTCACACATCGATTATGGTATTATTAACAGGAGGCAGAGCTGACATTACTGAGGGCTTACTACGCACTGGGCGCCATGCGGAGTGCTCTGCATGCATCCTCTCAGACAGTGCTCGTCACAGCTCTACGGGTCTGCACCACGTCCACTGTTCAGCAGATGAGGACACTGAGGCCTCGCAGGTGGAGATGTCCGAGGGCACATACATGGGGAGCTGGATCTGAACCTAGGCTAGCCTCTCCTTATCCAGAGTCCCCGCTGTCACCGACTGAGCCATCCTGTCCATGCTCGTTTGCTCAGAAGCCATGGAGCCCCCAGGTAGGAGCTGTGCCCGTTTCATCTCAGTGCCTAGACACGGTGACCTGAGCAGAGGCCATGCGCTGGGACCAAAGGCCACGGCCTGTGCAGGGCAGGGAGGAGGGCGGGCGCAGGGAGGGGCGCGGGGAGGGCCGGCCCTGACCTGGCGGTGCCGCTCGTAGCTCCGGATGAAGTCCCGCAGCTGCTCCTCGCGGCTCTCCAGCGTGGCGTACAGCTGCTGCATCTGCTTGGCCAGGTCTGCCTTCTCGCCCTTTAGGCGCTTCCGGTCGGCTTTCATGGCTGGGGGACAGAGGAGCGAGTTAGTTCCGAGATCCTGTCTGTCCTTCGGGAAGCTGAGAAGGGACCCCATTTCCACCCTCTTTTTAACAGATGAGGAAACAGGGTTCAGATAGATGGAGTTTCTCTCCCAAGCTCCCATGTCACTCAGTGGTATTCTCAGGATTCGAACCCAGGTCCATCTGTTTCTAGAGTCCCTGTTGTCACCTCTCATTTGTATTGATCCAATCAGGGGAGTAAGTCCTTGCTTAAATCTCTGTCCCTGCTCTAAATCGGCTAGGTCCCCAGTAGACAGGAGCTGGAGGTCTGGTGAGCCTGTGACCACACCCCTGCCCCAGCCCAGGGAGCTGATGGGACCCTGACCCTGCTGAAATGAACCTCAGGGCTCATCTGAGCCCACCAGAACCACCCAGCCCAGCCCACCAGTCCATCATCTCCATTTCCTCTACAGAAAACAACATTTGATTAAAAACATACAACAACGTATGACATGAAAAGTATGAGCAACAGAGGAAAAAATAGATACACTGAAATTCAAAGTTAAAAACTTTTGCACATCAAAGGACATCAGTAAGAAAGTGATTTGACAACCCAAGGAATGGGACAAAATATTTGCAAATCATTATCTGATAAGGGGCTTATATCTAGAATATACAAAGAACTTTTACAGCTCAATAATAAAAAGACAAGTAACCCAATTTAAAAAAATGGGCAAAGGATCTAGAGAGACACTTTCTCCAAGAAATGGGCAATAAACACATGGGAAGGTGCTTGACATCACTAGTCATCAGGGAAATGCAAACTGAAACTACAACGAGGAACCACCTCTCACTCACGGCAATGGCTAAAATAGAGAAGGAGACAATAACAAGTGTTGACATGGGTGCGGAGAAATTGGAACTTTCATACACTGCTGGTGGGAATGGAAAACAGTGCTGCTGTGGAAAGCAGCCTGACGGATCCTTAAGCGATTAAACATCAAGTTACCCTATGATCCAGCAATTCCACTCCAGAAATGGAAACAACTGTCCACACAAAAACTTCCACACAAAGACAAATGTTCAGAGTGGCATTAATCACAGTGGCCCTGTTTCTACCCCCCTTTTAACAGATGAGGAAACAGCGTTCAGAAAGATGGACAACCACATGTCCATCAGCTGATGAATACATTTGAAATGTACTATATCCATGTAATGGAATATTATACGACAATAAAAAGTAGTCACAATTCATGCTGCACCGCGAACAAACCTTGATAATATTATGCTGCGTGAAAGAAGCCAGTCACCAAAGGCCGCATACAGGTTGGAGCAAAAGTAGGTTTATAGTTGTGAGCACACAAAACACAGTTTATGCTTGTCTTCTTATTATCGTATTCTTTTCCTGACGAACAGCTGCCAACCTACTTTTACCCCACCCTGTACTGTGCACTCTATTTCTAGAACATGTCCAGAATAGGGAAACCTACAGGGATAGGAAGTAGGTAAGTGGCTGTCAGGGGCTGGGGGGCTGGGGATTTGGGGGTGGTGGCTGAAGGTCATGGGGTTTCTTTCTGAGGTAATGAAAATGTTCTAATATTGGCTATGGTAGGGATGTACAACTCTAAACATAAAAACCACTGAATTATACACTGTAAATAGGTGAATTGTGTAATATGCAAATTATCTCTCAATCAAGCTGTTTCACACACACACACACACACACACACACACACACACACACACAGCCCCGTGCTCCAAGCAGCCTCCAAGAGGTGGCAGTATGACGTTTGGTCCCCAGGCTGTGCAGGGCAGAGGCCCCAGTAGCAGGGTGGGCTCCGCCCCCAGAACTCGGCCCCCTCCCTCGAGAGAAACTGAGGGGATTGTGGAGGTGGTGGGGATGGAGTTAAAATAACTCCTCGGCTCTGGGAAACTGACAGCCTGTGAAGGCACAGAATGGTTAGGTCATTTGCCCAAAGTCACACAGCCAAGTCTGACCCCAAAGCCCACACACTTGATCCTACACTGTGCTGTCTCTACAGTGAAACCCCTCAAACCCGGAGCGTCCTGGAGCCACAGCTAGCTAAGGGCAGTGATATGGGGCAGGCAATAGCTGGCCACCGGGCTCTGGTCCTGGACGTCCAACCCTGCAAACTCAGCCTGCCAACGTGAAAAGTATGGACCCAGGACCGAGGACCCGGAGCTCCTGGCTCGGTGCCCAACATAAGCTGACATCCTTCTGGCCCTGCAGGACAAAGCTGGGGGCTCCTTCATGCTCCTGCCCTTCGCCCTCCTCCCCCTGCCTGGGGTAGAACAGGGTGGAGGCAGGTTAACGGGGGCCACGCAGTCACGTGCAAGGAGCCGTGGGGAGACCCGTGCAGTGCGCGCCCCAGGTCTCGGGCGGCTCTTTGAAGTCCAGCTTTGAGCTCGGGCTCCCACAGCAGGACCTGTCCTCACTGGCCGAGCAGCTGAGGTCACCGAGGCTGGAATTCCAGGCCTGCTGGGCTGGAACCCGAAAGTCCCAGGACAGCAGACCCCGGTGAGGGCTCATTTGTTCTCTGTCCTGTCAGGCAGGGCGTGGCCGCACCAGGTCCCAGGGTGGGCGTGGGAGGGACAGAGCTGGGCTCGTTTTCTGTCCTGACCCTAACATGGTGTGGCCACAGTACCAGTGAGCCTGGTTTGAAGAAAACCCAACTTCGAAAGATGTGACCTGGTCAGAAGGAATGTCATCACAGAACCGGGGCCCCGCTGTCACCGAGGAATCAGAAATTTCCATCTGCCCCCTTCATTCCATCCCGGCTGCGCTCCCTGTGACAGAGGTAGTGGGTGCGTACTGGTATCATCCCATTTCACAGAGGAGGACACTAAGGCCACACAGCCAGAAAATGCAGAGCTGGCGCCTGACACAGTCTCAGGGAGGGTTCAGGTCGGCGGGGCGTGGGACCCAGAGGGAAGCACCGTGGGGGTGGCCCCTAGGGAGACGCGGACCCAGGCACAGGGACCACTGTGGCTTCTGGGGAGCCTTGGGCCGCCTCCCTGCCCGTGGAGAGAAGTGGTTGCCAAGCAGGTCTCAGGGCCTCCCTGGGGAGTCATGTCTGTGCCCTTCGGCTGGTGGGGGCTGGAGGGGGGTCCTGTCCCTGCCCTCTGGTTAGAAACGAAAGCCCCTTGGGTTCTGATTTACCTCCTTCAGCCCCATCTGGATGAGAACCAAGCTCCAGACTTGACTCTTGGCACTGAGGTTTGGGAGGGTATCTCCCCCTCCCCTGGCCTAGCTGGGCTTTCCTTCACTTCTGCCAAATGGTCTCGGAGGGAGAGCGACGCTCCAGTCTGTGGGCCTCCCGCTGCTCCAACCGTGCACGTCTGTGTGCTGGAGAAGCTGTGAGCTGCCGTTCGCCCGTGGGCAGGTCTGTGTTTTGGCCTCAGTGTGGGGACAAGGGGCTACGCCTCCCTCACCTGACTGGGGGCTCCCTGAGAGCAAGGGCTGGATCTCTGCCTTCAGGTTAGCGGAGCCTCCTTCAGAGAGCGAGGGCTCCCCAGACTGTTGGATTAACAGGCTCCTGCCTGCTACAGTGAGGGATGAACAAGACAGGGTCCCTGCCCTTTGGGTGGTGGCAGATCTGATAGAGGAGACACGTCATCTCCCCCCTTCTTCCCAAGAGAACCCCAATTCTGCCTGTGTCCAGTTAAAACACTCAGCTTCCCAAGCTCCCTTGAAGCTAGAGGTGGCATGTGTCACAGTCCTGGCCACTAAGAAGTACACAGGCGTCTGCTGGGAAATCTGCTGTGTTCTTTATAGAAAAAGGTCACGGTATGCTGGCAGTAACCCTTGCCTTTGCCCTCTAGTTTCTTCCTGCTGGGAACGTGGATGTGACATCCGGAGGCAAAGCAGCCATCTTGTAAGCACAAGGATGAAGACACAGCTGAAACTGGGGAGTAGACAGACAGACAGACTGCTGATGGCATCACCCAGGCCAGAATTCCTTATGTCAGGAGAGAAATAACCCCACTGTTTATGGGATTTCCCGTTACATGCAGCCCAATGCACCCTTAACTGACACATCAAGGCAGGCTGTGGGATGTGCTATCACCCCCACTGCAAAAGGCTTTGTTTCATGGTCCCTTCCCACAAGCTCTCTGTGGGGGTCCCTACTCCGCCGTCTGTAGACTGAACTCTGCCAGGCTGAGGACCAAAATAACACCAAACATGAGCGCTGGGTCTCTGGGTATGAATGCCAAGTGAAGACCACCTAAAAATGACAACAAGGCCACTTTGGGACCATGGTGTGAGCAAAGCCACGGTGCAGACCACCAGCTTTCCAGAAGCCACAAGCTGCTCAAGAAACCTCGCACGGAGGACCTGGGAGCACAGGGGACCCCAGCACCGGGGAGGTGGGAAAGTGGGTGTGTGGTTCCCCGTTGAGCCCGATGACATCACTGCATAGCCTCCACGACAGGGGTCTCCCTAAAGAGAGCGCCCGCATTCTCCCTCTTTAATAAACAGAGTTTAGCAGGACAAACACCCCAAGAAATCATTTCAGCTACATCCACACAGCCACGTATCACACAGTATCACACACTCCCTCCTTCCCTTCGTCATAGGGATGCTTTCATTTCCCTTCCAAACCGTTTGGTTTTTTCTTGGTACGTGCCCCTAGTGGGAACCGAACCCGGGACTCTCTGGTCCGCAGGCCGATGCTCCAACCGCTGAGCCAAACTGGCCAGGGCCGTGTTGCCGCTCCCCAAATGTCCTACCACGAGCTGCGGTCTGCGAGGCATGAGGGCCCTCTCCGTTCTCAGCCCGAGGCTGCCAGCCCCCCGCTCGCCGCCCAGCCACCGCCTTCGCCCAGGCGCGGCCCATTCCAGCAGCCAGGCCGGCGGAACCACTGCCATGGCGACGGGTGATGTCACGCCTGGCAGGCCCTGCGGGGTCACGGAAGGAGACCGGCCTGGCTCCTGGGAACGTGGGGACTCTGGAGCGGGAGGGAGGGTGGGTGTAGGGGGCCCTATTTTTCTTTTTCTTTCTGT